AAATTAAAAAATTTCAATCCATAAGCGGTTTGGTATAAAATATTACCTTGGACCCTAATTGCTATTCACTGGTAGTTTGGACCATAACTGCTATTTACTAGTGGTTTGGATTTTAACCATTATCCTCTAATCCTAAACTGTTAAATAAAATGTTTAACTCTTAAACTGTTAAATAAAAAGTTTTATTAAATGCTTAATTTGTAGTTATTTTAAAATAAATAAGTTTAGTAAACACTTATTCTTAGTACTTCTAAGGGGTGATTCAATGATTAAGTACTTGAGATTTTAAGTTTGGAGATCAAATTCAAATCTTGACTCGAGAAAAGAGAGATTTAAGAAAAATGGAGAACTATTCCTTTTTGTACATCTCATCAATTATCATATATATAAAAAAAAACACTTATTTTTAGTTATTTAAATAAAATCACTAATTACTATTTCCAAATCATTATACCAAAAAAGCATGCTAATAAATACCATAAAAATGTTAACTATTCAAATGAATCAATTAAACATTAAGAGCGTGTTATATTAAAAAGTATCATAAAAATGCTGACGGACAAAAAGATCTATATTATGTAAATATCCATGTTTTAAATGATAGTACCTGCAACCCAAAAGATAAGGAAGAGTAATTAAAACCGCAAGTAATAGACACCGCCCCCCACTTGTAATCATTGATTTCCCTCCAATAGTACTCTAACCATCTCCTGCGGATAAATAGAAGAGCCGCTTACGACTCATCCAAATACTAGGAAAAACCAAATGCCAACAACCTCACCGACTTTACAAGAATCATCCAAGACATGATATCCTTTTAGAGCGATCACGTTTTCTGTCCATTGAAAATCAAGAGCTAACCAATCAAAAACCCCATGGTTTCCACCCAAGCAAATTCCATGATTTCCACCGCCTTATAACGGAATCAGATTAATTAGTTGCCGCCCATTGACCTCCTGTCTTCCACAAGATTTATTCTCCAAAACCGGCGACTAACCACCCAAAGTCACTAGCCCATCAAATCCTTAGATCAAGATCAAGAATCCAAAGGTACCAACTTGCAGTCCACTCGTTACCAACCCGTTGAAGAAAGTTTTGTGTTTTGTTTTGTTTTATTTTTATTTTTTGGTTTTTTAATGTAGTATTTGACAAAGGGATAAGGAAAATATGGAATCAAAGAAAAATGAGAAAAAGAAAGGCGAAATCTCCTAGAGAGAGATCCTAAAAATAGGGGGATGGAAACTCTAACCCTACCTGTAGAGGTGGTGGTTTCTCTAAAACACTACTTGATTTTTAATATTCAACAAATTCAGTTAATTTAATTTAATTTACTTAAAGATTGTGGCTTAGTTTTTTTAAAAATTTATTCTTCATTTTATTAATTAAAATTTAATTTCATGAAGAGGTTAATAGAGAAATACTTTTTTATAAATTTTTTAATTTTGACGTGAATGACTTATCTTTAACTAAATAAAAGAAAAATTAATTTTGAAATACACTAACCTAAGAACAAAATTCTTTAATATAAATGTATGGGCAATGAAGCAAAGGCAATCTATAATCCATATTGACTATAAGCTATAAGTTACTACAACCAAATAGATAGACCAAACAAAGTGGAAATTCTATTGAACTTGAGGCACTTGAAAAGTTGGTTGAGCCAGTTGCATCGTCCCCTCCCCTCTAAGAATTCAATGTGTTAGTCGGTGCACTTGCTGTCGTCTCCTACTGAGCTTTCGCCTAATAACCTTAAAAAATTTTAAACACATCTTGTATTACTGCTGTTTTAATATTGCTCAAGAAGAAGGTACATAGATCTCTATTCTAGCTCGAGTGAGAATCATGTATAAATTAGAACTCGTGCAAAATTTCCACTACATATTATTCTAAGTTGGAAATAGCATCTCTACTTAATGTTACCATTCGATGTGATATAGATTTATGCTTTTTAACGAGTTGAATCTAGTGGACTATGTACTTAGGTACTAGTGTTCAAAATGGCTTTAAAAATTTAAACTTAAGTATTTATTGACTTTAAAATAGTTGAGTTTGTATTCAAGCTCGTTAGTATTTGAGCTTACTTGCAAGCTCAGCTAACAAGTACTTTAACTTGAATTCAAGTGTTTTTTTTTTTTTTTTTGTAATATCAAAATGTTTCAATAATTAGTTATTTAATCATAATTTTTTCTATAGTTTTCAAAAATATTGTAGTACCAAAAGTTTAAATATATTAAGTCCATTAATAAAAAAAAATCATAAATTCCATTTGAATATTTTTATTAATAACTATAACTCAAAATATGTAACTTATTTAGTTTACATTTTCAACCTTGTTAAGTTTACAAGTTATTATATATCTAAATTTAATAAAATACATATGTTTAATTTTAAACTAAGTACTCACAAGTAGTTCACGAGAAATCATGGAAGATCAAGCTCAAGTTTGTTTTTTGTATTGAACTCAATATTAAGTTCAAACTCGACTCAAGTTTAACTCAAATAATTCATGAGTAACTCATGAATTACTTTATTTGTTAACATCCCTAGTGACAGCGATCAATTTAATTCTATTTTAACTTCTGTTGGAAGAATCTATTTTGTTATGCAAATATATTATGGATATATATGCAATCATGTGACTTGCTCAATCTTCTTGTTTTTGTTTGTTTAAACTGTATCAGCAATTAATCAGCATTGCAAGGAGTACTTGTGTGGTAAAAATAAGGACCAAGTGATTTGTGGCTGGAACTAAACTAATAAGTTACTATTTGTTTGTGAACTTGATTTTGGGAGAGATCAACTCAATTGCAATCCCAATCCTGCATTTGAAAGATAGTGTTAGTATGAATAGTATACATGGGAAAAATCTATTTAATACTAGCAACTTGTCCTCAAGTTTGTAATGGTTATGTGGATTTTAGCTCAAAAAGTTGTTAGGTCAATAAGAGCTTGTACTTAGGTTGTTACTTGTATAACAGTTAAAAATTGTGGTTTGGAAGTTCTGATTTTTGAGAAGCACTCAAAAGGGATGCATGGTGCTGACTGCTATGCAACTAAATTGATTTTTTTTTCCTTTACCATTGTGCAACTATATATTTTTTTTTTTTCCCATTGTTCAATTAAATTTTTTGAGGCACTTAGATTTTAACCTTTAGAGAATGTGAGATGTAAGATTACATTTAAGGTTAACAGTTAACTTATTCTGAATCCTGCAGTAAAAAGGAGGGGAGGCCTGTTGTTGAAAAGTGGAGCTCACATCAAGGAGGCCATAAAGCTTCATTCCAGGGGGAATGACCTTAACTTTTTGTTATTTTGACATGTGATGAATCTCAGGAATGCTATTGCTGCCATGAATCTTTTCTGAAATCTTTCATAGCGTTCTTATCTTTTCCAATTTATAATGACAAGATGAAAGCTTCTGCTGCTTGTGCAAACCATTGATGCTGACATACAACTATTTTTTTGTATAGAATTGCAAGGAGCATGAATTTAATTTGAAGCTAATCTTGATTTTCTCATGATCTTTCCATTTTTTAAAGATGTTGGGGAAAAGGTCATTGCTCTTGGTAACAGTTTCCTGTATTGTGAGCATAAATGCATAATAGCAGTGCTAGTTTAGAGGACAGACAGAAAGCAAAGACAGTGGAGTCCCCAAATATATCATTATTTTCTGACAATCCTGGAAGACACATAGGCAGAATTTTGGTAGGGAAAAATGAAAGAATAATGCTGTAAGCATGGAATCTTGTAAGAAAAACTATTCCCTTACCAAAATATTGTAAAAGTCCAATGATTATGCGTTGTCTTCTTACTATGTTCATGACAGTGAAAAGGAACAGCAAGGAAAACACTGTCCTTCACAAATTTGGATGGAGTAGTTTGGCCTGTAAAAAGCAACTGGGGCAAAATCTTCAAAAGAATCTAAGGTCTAAACCTACCTTGCCTAACTGCCTATACACCTCTCTCCCTTCTCTTCATTTCCCATTTTCTCTTTTAATGACTTCTTTTTTTAATCTTGGATTCAAATCATTTACACACTTTTTCTGGTCATTTCAGGGATTAAAGTTGTCCTGGAAAAATGAAAATGACTACTAAAAACATGGGTTTGCAATTATTTTGACATCAGATGCCAGTGCTACACATCCAGGGGACTAGGACCCACAATTAGTCTGAGCTCTGAGGGGGGGTGCACACAACAGTATGACAAACTCTTGTGAAGGTTGCGTATGTTGTTCCATCCTTTTGTACGTAGTCATGCCATATATAATTTCATATGTTATTCTTTCCATTGATTCTTCTTCATGTCCTCTTCTGCTAAATGAGAAAACAATTCATTGCCTCTCTCTTGGAGAAACAGATATTCATGTGCTTGAGCAGACTTTGATGATAAATTTACTGTTTTATATGATCAATTATGCATACCATTTTATTCTTTCTTGATTTTATAGGAAATTTGACTCAAGGGGCAAGTAGTCTAGCTTTCAGCAACTATGTCTTGTGATTGTGATGCCCAACAAACTCTGTATTTGAATGAACTTTTTTATGCGTTGTTGAATGCTTTTAAGTATGCATTGGCCAAACAAGTCAAAAAGTGATAAATGATTAATTATATGATAACCATTTTATTATAGAAGACTTGTGTATCTAATCAAGTTTGGAATTTTGCACCTTTGCTTAATTTTGCTTTTGTCCTTTTTCTTTATGATTTGGAATCAAGTGGCATTTTGGATCAACTTGTTGGTATAAGATTAACTTCATCTCTCAAGTTCTAGAAGCAGGTCATCTACCATAGAATTAGAAATTAAAAACTTGATAAATCTTGTTCAAATTAGATAAATTTCATGTCTCGGGTTTTAGAAGCAAGCCAAATACCACGGAACTAGAAATCAAATACATAATAAATCTTGTTCATATTAGATTGACTTTATGTCTTAAGTTTTAAAAGTAGGTCATCTATCACGGAACTAAAAATTAAATACATGATAAATCTTATTCGTATTAGATTAACTTCATGTTTGTTGTTTTTGAAGCAAGCCATCTACAATAGAAGTAGAAATTAAACACATACATGATAAATTTTGTTCGTATCCGATTAACTTCTCATGTATGGGGTTTTAAAAGTAGGCCATCTATATATGATAGCACTAGAAATCAAACCCTAAGATAAATCTTTGCACTTTAAATGCACTGTATAAACTTTTGCAATCTGCAACAAGTGGGTATGCCGATTTTTACTTTCAAAGGTTTTACCAGACTCTCTAGTTCTAAGGGAGGACTTAGGGGTTAGCTTACTATTTGATGCATAAGGAAAAGTTATAGCAGAACATGGGAAACATGTAAGCAGACAAGGCCCCCATGGTGGCTCACCTTCCCCTTTTTTCTCCTTTTTCTGATCTCTGATTTTCAATCTCCATCCTGAAGTGCTATCAAATCCCTACGGAAAAAGTATCATGTTTTTCAACCTTATTTTTCAACATTATTTAGTATGCAAATTAACTAACATTGATACTTTCTTCATCCCATCTCCCCAGTTCTGTACGACTTCAATTACTTTGCTGTTTAGCTTGATGCACTTTAAACCCTGCAAGAACATCCTTCATTTTACCATTAACTGACATTTTGAATCACTAATACATATAAGATTAAATCTATCTCCTCTATTCAGTTAAAAAAACAGATCATGATCTGCAGATAAATAGAGATGAACCTAACCTTGTCAATCATTTTGAGGGCTCCCAATTTCAAGCAGCCATGGAGCTGCTCTTTGTTCAACATAGGACAATCACCAGGCAGAGTTGACCCATCTTGAATTATGGACGTTCACATGGTCATGGAAGCAATTGTGGATGTTTCCATTAAGATTTGACCCACAAAGAGGTAACATTTGACCCACTAAGAAGACATTGATTTTCATGGAAAACCAAGATGTTATGATGATTTCTCAAGAAAAAGGGGTAAAACCATGGATAGCCAAAGTTTCAATTTTTTCTTTATTCTGTTTCTTTGTTCCACACCACACACATGACACAGCTGGAAGTTTCACCATACGCAAACCTAATTCCTCAATTATTTTTTGCAAACTGCGCAAGGAAAGTCAATTTGTGGAAAATACTTATCAAGATTAAAAAAAAATAAAAAAAGAGCATAAACAAACCAGAAAGTTTACAGCAACACTCAATTTGCAGTCAGGTATCCCCATTAACACCATTGTTCATGTCAAAAACCAAACGTATATGTTAGGTGAAACTAATCAAACCTTAATTTCCCACCTCTGATCCTCTCCCCTCCGGGGTTTTTGAGTTCAACATATCATGATTCATACATACTCTTCAGCTTCCTTGCATCATAATAGTTGCTGAAACAAAAGAATATATATATACATGCTTGGATATATGTATCTGTTGAGGCAAGAACCCCATGTTGGGGGGAATGAAGCCTGGTCCGAAATCATTCTTACAAGTTGTCTGAACCTGGTATGAATGGCTTCGAACCAGACAACATTCCCCTCAACTGTTCATGTAAGAGATGAGATGAAGATAAGGAGAAAGAGCTATGGAAACAGAGACATGGCATTGGAGTTTTGGTATAGCCATGCATTAACTCTTTGTTCTTCATGGGGTCCTCCTATATTTATATACGTGGAGATGAGGAGGGGTTGTCAGATAATTTGATGGGTAACATGACATGGAATCCACTTTCTACATTACCCTAGCTAACATGCTTTTTCACACATAGGCTTCAAAGTTTTACACAACACATATTTCATTTTTCCATGGAAATTTTTTCTTTCAACATGTAAAGTTATATTCTACTATTAATTAGTTTGTGACTCTGAGGTCAACTCAATGCCCCTTTTCATAGCCTCTAAATTAATAGGCTAAAATTTTCAAATCCACATGCTTTTAGAGGTGGCAATTTGAGACATGACACACAAGCCTAACCCAAAACGTACAAGTTAACATTTTAGTGTTCATTTTTGAAAGTGGAAAATTATGTAAGTTGTCCAAGTCCAAACATATAACATTGAATCATTTTTCCATTTTTCTCAGGAGTTCACTTTTTCACTTTATATTTAAATATGTTTTAATATGGAGGGGAACGGTACAGCTGGTTTACTAGTTTCCTAGTTTTTCTTTGTAGTGGATAGATATTGTATTTAATTCTATATATTTTATTTTTTAATAATAATTTTATTTATATACATTATTTATATAAATAAATTATTTAATTTAAATATTTAGTGAAAAATAAAAATTTTGACATGGTACTTTCATAAAATTCAACTAATATACATTAACCTCAAATATAAAAGTATATCAAAAGAATTTCTCATTTTATTATTTAAATTGTAACGAATTACAAAATAAAAATTATTAAAAATAATTTATTTTATTCTTAATAATTAATATCATATAATTTAATATAATTTCAATTATACAATATTTTTATATTAAAATAAAAAGTAAACATATCCAAAATCAACAATCTTACATTGAATTCTACAGCACCTTTTACCGACACAAAGGTAGAATTCTTTTTTCTTGAGAAATTTCATTCAAGAGGATTAGGAAAAAAAAAAAATTAGATCAAAATGAGATTTTATTGATTTGATTCAAAAGATATGGCAGGTACGTGTCTTTGTTTTATTTTCTAAGATTATTGAAAATTTGATTGATTCACAGTGAATTATTAAAGAAAACGAGTACTGAAATTCCATTAGGATGGGATGTCTCATTAATGAGAGAGGAAATCTGAGCCTTGCTCAACTTGAATTATGAGATCCAGCTAACAAAACTGTGTATATGGACACTACTAGTTCTTTTACATTTCAATATCATAAGATATAAAATTAATCAAAGTTAGAAAATTGCAGCAATACAGCCAAACCACGCTTGGCCCATAAATCTAATTTATCTCCTATTGGGGAAATTATTCAAAGTCCCTTTCATTTTCGGTTGATGCACGAATTAGCTCCGATAATATTGCTTCTGATATAAATAAATTCTTGTTATTAAAATTATTTTTGTATTTTCATGACACATTAGATTTAGAATCAAGTGTTAATAAATTATTATAACTAAATTTTTAAAAAATTATTAAAACTAAAATAGATAGATAAATTTTTTTTTTTTATAGCAAATCAATGTCCCTTTCAATTTCTATTGATGAATGATTTAGCTCAATAATATTGCTTTGATATAGATAAACTCTTGTGATTGATATTATTTGTCGAGTTCTAATGACATGGTAGATTTATAATATAGCGTTAATCAATTATTAAAACTAGAACAGTAAATAAAATAATGTTATTTTAAACTTAAATACTATTGATTTGACATACATATGTTCTCGTGATTGATATTATTTTTTGTGTTCCCATGACATGGTTAGATTTATAATATAGCCATAATCAATTATTAGAACTAAAACAAGTAAATGAAATCATGTTTTTTTAGCAAATCAAAGTCTCTTTCAATTTTTGTTGATATATGAATTGGTTTCAATAATGGTGCTTTAACATAGATAAATTCTCGTGATTGATGTTATTTGTTGTGTTCCCGTAGCACGGTAGGTTTACAATCTAGCCTTAATAAATTATTAGAACTAAAACAGGCAAATGAAATCATTTTTTCAGAAAATTAAAATTAAGAAATAACAAAAAATGACATAATATCATGAACAACTGAAGCGGTATAATAATAATTCTTCTTTTCAATGAATCAAAGAGTTCTTAAATTTATATTATAGGGATGTGGGTATAACAAGTGAAGTTAGAAAGAGTTAGCTCTCTCACTTTACCGCACAAAATCAATAGAAAATAATTCCGTACAGTTGGGAAGACTTATCAAATTCAAATGGGCATCTTCTGATCGACTTTATGCATTTGTGGACTACTCCAGCAACCAACG